TGGCGAACGATGGGGCAAGGATCACACATGTCCTCCTACTGTGCAGATGCATGTAGTGGAGGAACTATTGGAGCTCTTTGCAAAAGAAGAGGTGTTAGTGGGAAACAATCACGAACCAAACGAGCTGGACGAAGACAACCTTTGCACCATTTCCAAGCAGGCGGTGGACGGGTCTGCCGGGCTGGGTGTGATGCAACTGCACGCATGTATTCAAGGGAAGGAAATGTCATTACTGGTTGACTCGGGCAGCTCCTCCTCATTTGTCGACCATCATATCACAGCCAAGCTATCGGGAGTGTGCAAACTGCCCAAGACATGCAGAGTTAAAGTGGCAGATGGTGTTGTGTTGAGCTGTGACAGCTTCATACCACAGTGCCAATGGACATCACAGGGGCATGATTTTATAATAGATTTCAAACTACTATCACTTGGAGCTTATGATGCTATCTTAGGGATGGAGTGGCTCAAGAAACACAACCCTATGAACATTGATTGGGAGGCGCAGCATATGACAGTTACAATGGAGGAAGGGCTGGTTGAATTGCAAGCAGTTACCAATGGTCAGCACAAGTGCGCTGCTATATCATCCCAAGAATTGTTAACGGCATGCAAGTAGGGCTCGGTAGCGTATGTGGTCCACCTAAATGCTGTGAGTGAGGCAGGTTACAAGAGGAAGCCATTCCAGTAGAAATCCTCAGAGTCCTGGAACAATATACGGATGTTTTTGAGGAACCAAAAGGACTTCCACCCAGACGGGCTTGCGATCACAGAATTCCGCTCATGGAGGAGGTGCAACCTGTCAATCAACGACCGTACCATCACAAACAAGAGCTCAAGAATGAGATAGAGCGTCAAGTTAAAGAATTGCTCGATGCAGGCATCATCAGAGAAAGTACGAGCCCCTTTTCTTCACCTGCTCTTTTGGTGAAGAAGAAAGACGGTACATGGCGGCTGTGTGTGGATTACAGATGTCTGAACGCAATGACGATCGTCAGCAAGTATCCAGTTCCAATCATAGATGAACTGCTCGATGAATTGGTTGGAGCGAAATGGTTCTCTAAGTTGGATCTGCGTGCAGGGTATCACCAGATAAGATTGGCCGAAGGGGAGGAATACAAAACAGCCTTCACAACTCACTCGGGGCATTGGGAGTTCTTGGTCATGTCGTTTGGGCTCGCTGCGGCACCCCCAACTTTCATTGGAGCAGTCACTTGTGCCCTGCGGCCACTACTGCAAGAATGTGTCATTCTCTTCTTTGATGATATATTGGTTTTCAGCAAAACTCTGAAACAACATGTGGAACATCTCCGTCAGGTGCTGCAACTACTCCGAAGAGATCATTGGCAAGTCAAGCAATCCAAATGTGCTTTTGGGCAGCCGCAGATCGCCTATTTAGGACATGTTATAAGTGAATAGGGTGTGGCCACCGATCCAGCAAAGATAGAAACTGCCAGAAATTGGCCTGTGCCTGGCAACAGCAAAGAGGTGTGCAGTTTCCTCGGTCTGGCCGGGTACTATAGGAAATTTGTCAAGCACTTCGGCATTATTGCAAGGCCACTTTTCAATTTGCTGAAAAGAACCACCCCTTTGTTTGGACAGCTGAAACAACCAAGGCATTCGAATTGCTGCAACAAAGTCTGATTTCAGCACCGGTTCTGCATCTACCAGACTTTTCCAAACAGTTTTTCATTGACACAGATGCGTGTGATTATGGGGTGGGAGCAGTGTTACAGCAGGCAGGACACCCGACCGCTTGTATGAGCAAACCATTGGCGCCCAAACACAGGGGCCTTTCCACTTACGAGAAGGAATGTTTGGCTATTCTCATGGCCGTAGAACAATGGCGTCCTTACTTGCAGAATGACGAATTTCTGATAAGAACAGATCAGCGTAGCTTGGTGCACCTGGATGATCAGCGGCTGTCGACAGTATGGCAACAGAAAGCATTTACCAAGCTTTTGGGACTGCGTTATAAGATCACCTACAAACATGGGACCACAAACAGTGCAACCGATGCTTTATCTCGTCGACACCATGAAGACGTTCAGTCCATGGTAGTCTCGGTCTGCCAACCATCTTGGATATTGAAGATATCAAGGCCAGTTATGCGAGTAACCCACATGCAAAGAAGCTTCTAGAGCAATTCTCTCAACAGGCGGACCCGAAAGGTTGCTTTTCAGTTGCCGAAGGACTGTTGTATTTCCGATAACAGCTATGGTTGGGCGGATCTCCAGCACTCCAACAAACCATGTTGCGTGCTTTTCATGATAGCACTGTGGGCGGGCACTCAAGTTTCCATGTGACGTATCGACGCCTCCGCAGGCTCTTTGCGTGGCTCAAGATGAAGCAGGACATCCGGCAGTATGTGCAGGCTTGTGTTGTTTGTCAGCAGGCTAAACCGGAGAGGGTTAAATATCCCGGGTTGCTCGAACCAATTCCACTTCCAGAGGGAGCCTGGCAAGTGGTGACAATGGACTTCATTGATGGCCTTCCCCAGTCAGGCAAAGCAAATTGCATCTTAGTGGTGGTGGATAAATTTACTCGCTATGCCCACTTTCTACCTCTCCAGCACCCGTTCACAGCAGCCAGGGTCGCTAGAGTGTATCTGGACAATGTATACAAACTCCATGGTCTACCCAAGGCCATCATATCGGACAGAGATCCAGTGTTCACCAGTAAATTTTGGCGCGAGCTGTTTGCTTGCATAGGGTCTGAATTGAAGATGAGCACTCCGTACCACCCACAAACAGATGGACAGTCAGAAAGAGTGAATCAGTGCCTCGAGATTTATTTGAGATGCTTTATCCATGCCTGCCCAAATCACTGGAGTCAGTTTCTTTCGTTGGCTGAATTTTGGTACAATGCCAGCTACCACTCGGCACTGGACATGTCTCTGTTTCAGGCATTGTATGGGCACGAGCCAAGACACTGGGGAATTGAAGCAGCATCGGTATGCAAAGTTCCAGCGCTAAAGGACTGGCTCGAGGAGCGCAAGATCATGCAACAAGTACTACGACAACACCTGCATAGAGCTCGACATATTATGAAAGTTCAAGCAGACAAGAAGCGCTCCGACAGGGAGTTTCAAGTGGGTGACGTTGTCTTTGTCAAGCTGCAGCCTTATGTACAATCATCGGTGCATCGACGAGCCAATCACAAGCTATCGTTCAGATATTTTGGCCCATTCCAGGTACTTCGCAAGATCAACCCAGTGGCGTATGAGCTAGCACTACCGCAGGAGTCGCGCATTCACCCTGTCTTCCACGTCTCTCAACTGCGTCAAGCGCTGGCACCAGGTACAACTGCATCGTCTACAATCCCGGTACCCCGTTCTGCTGAACTAATCCCAGTGGAGTTGTTGGACAAATGCTGGCGGCAAACACCAGCCGGCCGCCACAAGCAATACTTGGTGCGCTGGTCTGATTCGGAGCTGCTCGATGCCTCTTGGGAGGACGCCCTTGCACTGAAAGGCAGGTATCCGACTGTAGCAGCTTGGGGTCAAGCATGCTCTCAAGGAATAGGGGATGTCAGGGACCCAACTGCAGATATGTCTCCAGCGGACAGAGACCGGGCCAAGTCAGCAAGGAAGAATGGCGTGGCCACGGGAGAGCCTCTTTCCACCAATCAGGGGCAGGGGCGCGTCGTCACCAGGCCAACTCGGATCAGGCAACCGAACCGCAGGTTCGTGGGCCCGGAGTGGACGAATGCTACATAAACTGAAGGAAAGCAATCGGTTTGGCATCCATTGGGATAAGGCACTGGCACGGCACGGCACGGCTTCCTTTTTGCTTTTGTTTCTCCTTTTCCTTTCCGCAAGACAAGTGAAACTCTGTAATCTATTTTGTGAGTGTGAGAAACTAGATCGGGATCCCTCGCCTAACAATGGAGGATCCCGCTGCAATCAGGACACTGAAATTTTCTCCGTAGCGAGCATTGGCCTCAGTGCAAGTAACTATTTAAGTAAGAATATGTGGCCTGGTATACCTATGCACAATTGTGCAGCTAGCTTGTCACATGGATTAACTTATGATGACATATGAGTTCTTGTACTATAAAATCATACGTACATGCACACTGCATATGCAGAGACCACATAGATTTACATGTCACATAAACGCCTGCATTCCCACGTGTCCCTACAGTAGAGAACTGTAGCCCTCGATCGACCGCAATAATGCCTTCATCATTCCCTCGCTAACTCTCCTTACTACGCACACCAACATCAGACAGCTACGTACCTACCTAATACCTACGGGTCGAGTTTGAGCTATGCTTAGCCCAGCCTGCCGCCCTGCGCGAACGCTCGCAGTAGTGACGCAACAGTCGATGGTCAGACAGCGGGCCACCACTCACAACGACGGACGACGCCATTGCTCGAAACTCAAATGCCCTCGCTGCCCTCTGTAACCTAGCTATAGCATAGCACGCAGAAAAATCACTGGGAAAAACATACAAACAAAACGCGCGCGTACACATCGCACCCACACCCTATGCTAGCTCCACTAATAAATACTCCCTCCATTCGGAATTATTTGTCGCGAAAATGAATGTATCTAGACATATTTTAGTTCTAGATACATCCATTTCCAAGACAAGTAATTCCGAACGGAGGGAGTACCTAGCTGCCTAGCTAGCTCACCAGTCACCACTCCCATATCTTTCAGCTTCCTGTGCACCCTTTCTCCATCACCAACCTTTGCTCTCCCTTCTTTCCCTTCCCTGGCTGGGCCTTCCCACTAAACCCATTGATGGATCGATGCATATGTACATCAGTGGGAATGGACACCATGCTGAGCTGAGCTTATATCAACATCGTTCGTATACCTATTACCTAGTCACTTCCAATATAGTCCATCTCATATTTCTCATGTGAAAGAGGAAGAAGAGAGTGCTCGACCAAGGAGTAGAATCAACTGTAGTACCAGATCAAGAAGTAGATCTTGCTAGGAAGATATAAAGTACTCAAGTGCAGGCAGCTACTAGCGCTACTGCACTCGCCAATGTTGCCTTACCACCCTAACCCTCACGGCTTCTGGATCTCCCGAGAACCACCCGCGCAGGTGCCAAACCCTGCCAGCGGCTTCGCCGTGGCGCCTCCCGCGCATCTGGACCATCAGATTCAGCACTACGACCACTTCTTCCCCGGCCACGGCAACCAGTTCAACTCCGAGACGCTGGAAGCGGTGCTCATGAGGCCGCGTCCGCCGGCTCCTCCTCCGGCGGAGATGCCGCCGGCTAACGAGGCAAGAACCGGCGCAGTGCAGGCCGCCGGCACCGGACACGCCAGGGCGAGGAAGCGGCCTTTCAGGACGGACCGGCACAGCAAGATCCGGACGGCACAGGGCGTCCGGGACCGCCGGATGCGGCTCTCCCTGGACGTCGCGCGTGACTTCTTCGCGCTGCAGGACCAGCTCGGCTTCGACAAGGCCAGCAAGACGGTGGACTGGCTGCTCACCCAGTCCAAGCCAGCCATCGACCGCCTATCCGAGTCCTCTCGGCTCAACGCCGCTAGAGCGGGAGAAGATGGCATGTCGTCGCTATCATCGGTGGAGCGTGAAGGCCGCCGGCTCAAGGAGACGGAGCTGGCTACCGGGTCGGGAAAGGGGGCAGCGGATGTGGAGAAGGCGATGAGGGCGAGGGGTGGTGGAACGTCGGTGCTCATGGAGCACAGACGCGAGATGAACGGCGGCCTCATGTCGGCTTCGATGACTGGTGGGGAGTACTACTACGACCTCGGCGAGATGATGTGCATCAACGCAGGAGAATGCGATGACGATGGCGAGTACGACGAAGACGGTGATTTCTTGGACGGTATGCAATACTAGTTCCAGCCTTCCAGGTACTAGCGATCGAGCAGCTTAATTAGGTCTTGATCTGCCGAGCGCATCATTGTCTTAGTTAATTATATTGCATGTGTACGGATCTACTACTCTCTTGGTACTATTTGCAAATCTCATTGTTTTGTCTTATGGTGCTATTTTTTCTTTGCTTTGAGGTGCCTCTTAAGATTTTCTTGAAGTCCATCGCTCTTTTTAATTTCATGCAACATCTGGCTTTCTTTCATGTCTTAATTTGGGAATTATTTTGTAAGATTTTGTTGAAGCTGATCATCTTAAGCTAGAGAGGGAGAAGCTAAATGGTTGGTTTGTTCACTGCGTTTATGCTCATAAGATGACAGTTTATGTAGATCAGCGAAGGTACTTCAGGTAAGGAGGATAGACAGAGCGTAGAAAAGTTCAGCACATGCAGTCAGCACTTTTATGATCAAACAAAAGAGTATCAGGAAACCGTATGCAAATATATAAAGAATTCGTAGTGTTTAGCCTGTTTAGGTCTGTACCTTCTTGACCTAGAATAAAGATGGTCTTCCTCGCAAATAAAATAAAATAAGGATTGCCTATTTTTGCTAAGTTGTACTTTCTTTTCTACACAAAAGCTTTGCATCAGTAAAAGAAAATAAGTTCCATTTGGATATATATGTAACTCACTGGCTCAGTGTCCCTATGAGCCTAGCTAACATATACTCCATTTGGATGGTGTATATGAGTTATTAGTTGCAGTCTACAAAGTACATGGTTATCTGGAATATCTTTCCAGAAGCAATCATTTGCAAGTACACATTGTTTTGGATGGTTAGCTGGAGTTATACAAGAGCACGACAAAAGGGATAAATATCAGATTCTAAGTTTAAAAGATTTAGGACTGAAAAAGTTGGAAGTACAGGGATTAGTAACTAATATTTATGCAGTTCACAATTTTTATTTGTTTGATTTAGCTTCATTCGTCAACTGAAACTTAGTTTCATCCTAATGTAAATCAAGTTGATGTTGTGGCATCATGCATGATATATAGTATTCAGCTGCTAACATCATTACCAAAGGAGAATACCTTGCTATTTTCGTAATTATGACCCTGGTTTGGTGAAGCGAGGAATCTGAACCTGCTAACTATTAATTTCAGTTTTGGAAACTGAGAGATATGATTTGTAGGGTTAATAGGGTCATGTAAACACCCATATATCCAAAATATTTTTCCTACATATAGTTTGATTAGATTCTAGCTGAACACACTATTTGTTGCTTATGTTTGGAGGGTTTGGCATCTAATTTGTTGAAAAAAACTATAATTGAGTAATATATACAACATTTTGAACATTCTACATTTTAGGCAAGCTAAACAATGACATGTACAATTAGCAAAAAACATGAGCACACTTATATGTGAACTTTTCATGTATTTCATTAAATTTTAAAATAACTTACACTTACATATATACATTTACAGTATATAATTCAGGATCAACAACTCCATAGAAAATTATACCAGATTCATATCCCAATAGGTAATATAATTGAAATTAATATATACTTCTCGTTCATCTAGAAAACATTTATCTAATTAAGGATATTTTTCATAGACTGGAGCTAAATCTCCTATTTATTTCCTAAAAAGTATCTCCAAACACATCATGAATCCCAGCAAAGTGGTTTTGACAGTTCATCTACCATATAAAAAAAAAATGTGATTTACAATATTCATTGCTCTACATAAGTGTATCATGCTGGATAAAAAGGTTGTGCATGTGCGATCAGGATGAGACTTTCTTTCGGCCGTCAACCAAATCTAGCTCATAAGCATTCACGCAAGTACACGACTAATGTATATATGAGCTTTGTATTCGCTCATAGTGACTCGGCACTTACATATATTGCACTCTCAAAGTATATACTCTCCTCTTTTGATATACCACACGTATAAATATAATAGGCTATATGTATCTCTTTATCATTTTCAATATACTTCAATACTAATTCTAAAATGTCACAATTCTAGTATATTTGATGACATATTCATATGGAACATTGGGATTAACCTTGCACCATTTTCATGCACATAAAGGTGTATATAAAAGAATATTCAAAATATGGTTTCAAATGAAAGAGTTAATGGTGTTTAGTCTGGAGTATTATATTGCTATTGGAATATGTGTTTAAAGTTATATACCACATATCCGTTGGTAAATACATGACTTTCTAGAAAGCATGAAGCCAAGTTTGGCAAGTAATATATAAAAAGATCATGTCAGTAAAGGTGGAAAGAGTATTATTATATCTCCCATAAAATTACGTCTATTGACAAACCAAGTGAGTAAACGGGTTTGACATAGGCATATATATATTAGTACCATATATACATTGAAGTACACACTCCCATGAGTAGAATCATTTTAGCTTTGTTTGGCATGTTGGAGTAGGATCCAAATATATTGAAAAATGCCTACTTTTCTGATGAAAGTTGAAGATTTGATTTGACTATAAATATTTAAACATATATGTAAATGACTAAAATGGTAAATTTCCTTGTATTTTTTGTCGTAAGTCTTTTCAGCTAGGAGTGCAATAGCATCCATGAAAAACCCACTTAAACTATATGATTACAATTGACTTAATTGATGATTCCAAGATATTTTAATAATAGTTGTAATATAGTCAACATAAAAAGCTTGAAAACATCTCATCATAGACCTTAACTAGATAATACCACATGTGTGTTGCTGCGGATATTGGTTGCAATACATTTCGATTATATTTGGTTGTCTGAAACATGAGCATTTGGATTAATAATATGAGCACTAAAACTAAAATACATATGCATGCTTTATTATATTTGATTATTTTATAGTTGTAAATTATTTATTGAATATAAGTAGCTTAGTAAAATGGGAATGGTTGAGCTTTGCATGTAGATGTGGGTCTTTTCCCATGCATTTTGCATGTTCAGGTCATGGTTGCTTGTTGTGACAAATAAGTTAATGGGGATCACATATCTAGTCATGTGGGATTAGTATTGTATACACATTTACCATAAATTCATGGAGCACATATTCGATGGGAAATGTAAGTGTTTTACGACGTTGTCGGGGTCTTGCGATGATATTTTTATCGTCAATTTTGGTGCGAACATATTATATCACATAAAAATAGTAATACACACCATAACAATATGATTCTTGATGAATATACTAATTTTTGTTTGATGTTTGTCATGTGAGTAATTTTTCTCCTAGCTTGTCAAAATTTTAGTTTCAGAAAAAGCAAAAGGATTTGTCATATTTTATTGATTAACAAGAAAAAAAAAAGTAAAGGTATGTACATACAAAGGCGGTATGTAGCCAAATGTGTGGAATTACTCTCGTGGAATTACAACCCTGAGGTAAGATACCTAGCGGTGACCCAAAGGTGGTGCCGCATGTTTGACCGATGTTGGAGAAGATGATCGTAGGCATTCTTGAATTGACTCTGGACTCTCGAGACACTCACATTTCAATAATTTGAAATTTCTCTAGAGACAAGCATAAGAATAGTGGATGTGGGCCTTGTGGCTTTCATAGGGGTACCAAACGATTAACAACCTCATACTAGCACACTCATTAACCGAGCTGAGGTGATAACAAGGAGCGGGATCCAAGTCTTGTCGACCAAGCTAACCTTTGATCATGTGCAAAATTCTAGCAGTGTAGAGGCATTGAAAGAGGAGGTAGGTCGTCGTTTCAGGGGGAGCGCTTACATAATTGGGGAACACCAAAAGTTGTCCAACCGGTTCTCAAATTCTTAGCCAATCGATTGTGCTTAGAACTTTGTTTGATGGTAAAATTTCTGAAAGTGTTTACATTTTGGATTGGAGTTTACTATCTACTCCTTATGTCCATAAATGTAAGACGTTTTTGCAGTTTAAATGTAAGACATTTCGGATCGGAGTTTACTAGTGTGTGCCCGCGTCCCATGCAGCACCAATGACGTACACACTACATTTCCTTCAAGAAAACACATACTGCATCACCCCGCTTAGCCCGCTACAGTACATACCCCTATGAGTTTACAATACGATCATGATCAGCAGCAGCAGTAGCCTTCCTTGATCTGATGACTGATGTGAGTGACATCGAAGTACAGTAATAAGTACGTACGTGCCGCGAGGATCGCTCTCTGACTAGATTTGCTTACCTCCATATGTCCGTGTCGATGAGACACCGGGACATAGGGAAGCAAACCCGTATACGTATGGGCTTTGGCCTACGCTAGCTACGCCCTGTTCAGCGCATTTCGTCGCCGCTAGCACAAGACTGACTTCAGAATCCTGTTTCTTTAATCAGTAATCCATGGCGGGGTGGAGAGATGCGGTACAGGATGCGACGATGAGAAAGCCAGGTCTCCCGCCGATCGGTCGTGGCGTGCAGAGGCGGAGAAGACCTGCGCGCGCGCGTCGCGTCGCGTCGCGTCAGGGGCATCGCTGGCCATATAACAGCTGCGGCCTGCGGAGCAAACCGTAGCTAGAACAGCACGACGTGCGTAGGCCTGGCCGCCGGCATCGTATCCGTATGTGTGTTCGGGGCACGTCGATCCGTCCATCGGTAGATATATGCTACTTTTCTTGTGATAGGGTGTTGGGTGCATGGGCATGAGAATGAATCTAGGCTTCATAGCTTTAGGTTTTGTTTCTTAATTTGTAGCGCTTCGTAGCTTCCCCTCCGCAAAGCTGACTGTACCAGAACGAGGGTCTCCTTGATTTGCAGGATTGCAATTATTAAATATATACTTCTCTTTTACCTCCTCTGCGTCCTAAGACTACAAAATAATCATAGCAAAATTTTGATGGCCTCCTTTGCACTCTATTCTATTGTCTCATAATCTATGTTTTCTTTACGGGAATGACTTTCGATCTATTTATCAAACATCCTGGCAGTAAAAAACACAAAATATATGAAAATTACATTATTGTTTATTGGCTACCTAGCGACAACTACAAGCACCGGAGCGAGCTGAAG